TAAAGTTGGATAAAGAGATCTCCCTCAGCTAGGATGAATGCACCTCACATGTCTGTTGCAAGTCTTTTGCCTCTGATAAATCAGTCAATGAAAACCTAGTCCTCGATAGCTGTTGAAGCACCTCAGATGAGCTGCTCAAGCCGAGCTCTATATCCAGATGAGGAGCCAATGCCAAACACAACCCTGGCCTGCCCTAGGGCCTCTCACAAACCCCACCTGGTTTCTTGGCTGGGGGCTTCTCATCCTCCTCGCTAGAGCTGTCATCGCTGCTGGAGGACGGCTTCCTCTTCGCCTGGGAGCCGTTGGGTACCAGCTTTCTCTTCTTGGCCGCCGGAGACCTACAGCGAGGAAATCCAAGGGCCGGACAGTGGTCGGCGCTGGTCGATCCCGGCAGCCTGGCAGAGCATGCCCGCGCCCTCTAAACCCCCACCCCAGTAAGCTTGGACGCCACCGCCGGAGGGACACTTACTTCAGCCAATAACTATAGATGTCCAGGAGGGAGGCTGCGTTGGGGTCTTGCTCCTTCTAAACCAAGAGAGAAGACGCGTCAGTCGGTCGGCCACTGGGCCGCGCCGCGTTCCGCTCCCTTCCCTCGCCTCCCTTCCTCTCCCCTCAGCCTCACCCCGCCGCCCACCGCCGCCGCCTCCTTAGCGAAGGCGCGCGCGGCGCCGTCGAAGCGGTTCTCGCGCAGGAAGGCAAGCACGAACGGGAAGAGGTCACTGGGCACCACGCGCCACTCCGCCATGCTGTCCCGCCGACACGTGCCGCCCGCGCGCACGCGTGCGCAGCGCCACGTACATACGTACAGGCGGGCGCGGGAGCGCTGCTCCGGCTCCGCCTTCCCCGCCATGTTGGCCGGGCTGTGAGGGGGGCTGGGGAGCCGGGCGCTCGGTCGGCTGGCGGTGCGGGTGGGAAGGGCGAGCAGAGTGGGGATCGGGGAGGCATAAATGTCTTCCTGGTGAGAAAGGAGTTAGGTCCGTTCAGTGGCTGTGATTGTGTCTGCCTGAAGGCATCAACCAGAGCGGGAAGGCTGCTTGTGGGGCAGAGGCAGGCTTAGGGACCGCCGCGGGGAGGAGGCGGCAGGAACTCGGGAAATCTCTGCGATGAAACTTGCAATGTGCATATGGCATTGGAAGAGGAAAGGCTCCACTCCACTTAAACGCCTTCCCCCCCATCAGTCTACTCTTGGCTGTAATCCATTTTAAATATGGTCACTGAAAGGAGAATGGTAGGCAGCCGAAGGAGCAAAGGATGCTGCATAGAGAATAACAAACCAGTAGCTGCGGACCATCTCAGTCCTGGTAGTGGCTTCACCAATAGAGTGCAGTACTATGTAGCTTGAACACGGCAGGTAGAACTAGGTGTTGACAAGATTAATCAGCAGTCCCAGGAAAGCTGAGCTATGAGCTATGTTCCACATGAGGTATTACGCAGGATCAAAGTGAAAGTGCAGAGAAAGAGGGTAGAAGTAATGTTGAGGTCTAAAGGGGCTGTCTGTAAGATGAAGCCAGAGAGAAAATTAGGAATAAGATTTCTTACAACATAGGTTTGAAGAGTATCAAGAAAGTAAGGCTGGAGAGACTTAAAACAGGCACACCTATTAATCAGGATAAGCATATACTGAATGTCCAAGCCTGGGCTTAAAGGGAGCTCCTGAGCCTATGGACAAAGGGTGGGTATTGGAGCCCCAGGTGAGGCTGATCAGGACAAGCATGGCCTGTTAGAGTTCTCAGGACCCTGATAAGGAGATTTCATTCAGCTGTTGTATATTGCTGTAGCTTTAAATTAGTCATTTCTCCACTAGAGTTTTTTCTTCTGTAAAATTGAACAGTTGCTCTGATGGATGTGGTGCTCTGTTCCTGCCTTTATGATGGGGCATTATTTTTTTTTTTTTTATTGCTCCCCTCAATTGAGTGTACTATAAATCCTGCTGAATGTAAAGGAAGAAGAGAGTCACACTTAGAAAGTCCTGAGTTAGGGCTGCCAAGGTTAAGCAAATAGCAGTAGTGCAAGTAGGTAGGTCGTGTTATGCCTTTCTCATTTCCCATACCCAGCCCCTCTGCTCTTGATCACCTCTAGATGCTGCTGTGCCGTGTGTGGGGGTTCTGTCCGTCGTGTGCAGTTAGGTAGTGCCTGCTAAATGCTTGGGCAGGCTTTGTGTGCAGCAGAGCACCCCTGTTGGTGGTGTCTCTGCAAGGTGCTGTGTGTGTACTGCTGAGGAAATGAAAAGCAGCTTATATAGTGGAGGATTGTACTATAAGATACTGACACTTTGTGCAAGTGCTGCTGCCTGTAGCGTAGAAAAGGAACATTAAGCTGAGGGATTATTATGGATGTGTATTTAGTTTTCAGATAGCCCTGATCTGGCCTGCCCCTGTTATATATGGGATAACTTGGGTTGCAGAAAGGAAGCTGTTTCCAGGAGCCAATTCTCCTTTCAGTTTTTGTAGCTTCCATCCACAGTAAGCTACAGCTGGAAGCTTTATCTGTAAAGCTCAGCACAAGATCTGCTCTTTTGCCTGTATCAGAAAGGAAGAGATGCAGCTATTGCTGATAAACTGTCCTTATTTTAAGTTCTGCTGTCTGAATTAACTGCTCTGAGGAACAAGGGAAATGAGTGTGTCTGTTTTGCTGGCTTGCTTTGCTTCTTGCCTGGCTAGTAAGCATTTCCCTCTCCTGCCAGGCCTTTGCCAGTGAGATCTGTTCCCGCGTGCACTGTGACTGCTTCTCTTTGGAGGTGTGTGGCTGTTTAGGTGCATTTGCTGTGTTGTGCCTGCAGTTGTCCAGGTGACCTGGGCAGGCAGTAACCATGTAAAGAAAGCTGGTTTGTTCTTGTGTTCCCCAAAGGAGTAGTGGGAGATCCTGCTGCTGCTTGTAGCATACTACTTCCTCCCATCACATACTTCTCATAGGTCTTTTCAGCCCTTCCCCTTGGCTGGCATCTCTCTTTTGTTAGGACTGCAGGGAGAGCTATTCACCTCAGAAGAGGGCATTCCCGTGAGAGGTCTCTGTCATACTCTTGTGGCCAAGAAGAAGTGAAAAGATGGCATGGGTATTCAAGCACTTACTGAGTCCCTTCCTTGTTACTCCTCAAAAATACCTAGCAAAAAAAAAAACCAATAGCTCCAGAAAGAGCAATCCTGCCCTTTTCTTTGGACAGGGATAAGACAGATCGTTGAGAATAATGCTGCAAATACAATGGTGTTCCCATGCTGCAGTGAATTGAAGGGAGGAATGATCAGACTTGGGAGACAGTCAGCTTTGGGCAAGCGTTGATGAAAAACTCTCTCTGTTTCTTCATTTTGTTCTTAACTCGTTACAAACTGTGTAACTCTCTCTTCCCTTAGGCCAACGTGAAGGGGCTTTTGCCTCGCTTTGTTATCGGAGTTCTTCGGTGGAGGTTGCTGTGAAGAACCTCCACCTAAGCTGAAACAACAGCCTAGCAGTTATTTTACCTAGGCTCCGTTGGGAAGGCTCATTAATTTCACTTTAGTTTCCTGGGGGCTTTGTATTGATTAAATAAAATACATAGCACCATAACTGTCACTAATCCATACGGAGAAGCCCCATGGGTTCCCACAAAGCAGGAAGCTGACTCTGCTAGCCCTCTAAGGCTTTAAAGAGCAAAAGAATTTAAAAGCTTGTTCCAAAGAGCACGTTGAAATCCTCATCTAACATCAGAGAGATTAGTTTGGTTTTAACATTTTATTCTGAAAGTTAGAAGATAAGCAGCTTTACGTGGGAAATAATGTAGAACAATCATTATAAAGCTGTATATCCATGGTTATCCACCTGCTTTACTAGTTCTTAGTACATGTGTATTATTCCATAATAGTAAAAGAATTTGGCTAGAGACTCTAGTTTGCAACTAGTAAATTTTTGTCCCTCACACAAATCCCAGGTAGATTCTGTATTTGCACCCTTCCCCAGTTCCCAGGTGTTCTTTATTCTATTGTGCTTTTTCAGGGTGATTCAGATGGGAAAGTACTGGTTTATTCTCTGCAGACCTGGGGTTCCTCAAAAGGCTTTATCATCAGGAAGTGCTTTTTATCCTAGTACTTTATTATCGTGGGAGCAAACACTGCTTTTGGAAGACAGGCTGTGGCACACAGTTTGTAAGCTTCAAGTAGGTTTGGGATAAAAAAAGATTTGGAGGTCACAGGAGAGTTTGACCAACTTCTAAGTCAGAGTTGATTAGTAGGAAAGAGTTGATTCGTGTTTGTAACCAGCTCTGTTTAAACGTTAGCATTTGTAAGAGTAAATAAGCTGCAAGCACAATGTCCAGTGACTGCTTGGGGAATGATTGTTTGGGAATCTAGCTGGTCAGGTATCTGCTTTTGTTTTGCTGAAGTGCAGCAAGAAAAGACTTTACTAGTTCTTACCAAAGATGTGTTTCTGAACACAAATCAGTGCAAGTTTGCAAAGGAATAAGCAATTATTTAGGCAGAATCTGTTGCTTGTTTTCTAGCAACAAAATTAAATTGAATCTTACTCTCAGAACTTCAACAGTGTCCTTTCACTGCTTCTTGTCTCTGTACTCAAACATGAGCATAGTCATACAGAGTCAGGTAAATCTAAGTTAAAAGACAGCATCTTCTAGAGGGAAATACAGAACACCAAGATGCTTCATTCTACGTGGAACAATTTGTTTTCCCCTAGGAAAAAATAAAACTCCTTGCTCATAGGAGACAGAATTCAAAGCCAACTTTAGGAGTGTACATGGATCAGGTCTTTCTTGTTCTCTTCCACAACTATTGCTCTAAGTTTCTTGTGACTAACGATAAGGAGTTTCTGTATCACCATAACACATAAGCTTTCCTCGCTGTAGCGCTGTTTGCTCGGCCACCCATGGAATGTGTGTTTGGAGCCAGCTGGAATTTCCCTCCAGTGGCAGGAGGCTCCCGCTGTGTACCTGTCTGGAGGGGGGGATGCACTACTGGCTTTGACGAGGCCGGCCCGGAGCCTCCCCGTGCCCTGCTCTGCAGGGGGCGTCGCGGGCCGCCGTCGCTGCCGTGTGCCCTCCCGGGCGGCGGGGCGGGAGGCGGAGCCCGGTGCAGCACCCGGCCGGGGTCGGGGAAGTGACCGGCTGTGGGGGGACTCGCCGTTCCGGCGGTGATGTGAGGGAAGCGGAGCGGCGCCTTCCTCGCGAGTCCCGCACCATGGCGGCTCCAGGTAGGTGCTGCGGCTTCTTGTCCCGGGAGCCAAGGGAGCGACGGGGCTTCTCTGCCCGGCTGGGCTGGGCGGGCGCTGCCCCCCCCCGCTCTCCGCGAAGCCCGTCCCGTGAGCGAGCTGTCTCGCGCGTTGGTGCCGGTAACTGGGGACGTAGCGGAGCCCCGCGTCCTGTCGCGACTGCGGGGCGGTGCTGTTGAACGCCTCTGCTCCCCCCTGCTCTCGGCTGCTGGGGAAAGGGGAAACGGGGTCCCTTCCCCGAGTTTAGGGGAGCTCCGGGGCTCTTCAGAGCAGCAGAAGCGCCCTTGTTCGCAGCCAGGTTGCTGGGCGTTATGCCTTATCTTTCTCCACTTGGCTTGAGCACAGGGCAGGTGCTGACAGAGCTATGCCTTCAGTGTACTTCGGGTTGGCAGCTCAGCTAGCTCTAAGGGAGGGTATTCTGTACAGCAGTGTGTCCCTGTTCAGTTTGGCTGGTTTTCAGCTCAGGTGTTTTTCTGTGATGTTTTGCAGAGAAGTCAGTTCTTCCTAAATACTGCTTTATCCCCCTGCATTTGCATACTTCCTTTTTAGGATATGACTTGGTGCCCCTTGTGACAATGGCACAGGATCACAAACAAACTGAGCTAGTTTGCCATCAATGAAAATATTTTAGCTAACACATGTTCAGGTAGAAGTGGTTAGAGTAGAGCTGGAAACTCCAGGGGAGAAGGGTTTAACTTATACTGTGCAAGCCTTGTTAGTGCCCAGTTTGCACATTCCCCTCCCTGCACGGAAGTGTATGTGTTTTATCTAAAAAAGGGAAAACGTGCTATTCTCAGGGTGTGAAGTAACATTCGTGTTTCACTGGCGCGTATCTCCTTGTAATGTAAAAATAAGTTAAACTGCGGCCTCAGGAGACTTGTGGGTAAAACTACTCTTCTCCTTATAAACAGAAGGTGATTTCACAGAGACTCTTAAAGTAGAACAACTTTAGGTCCACATATCATAATGCAAATCTGTTGTTCCTATCACTGAAGTTTGGCTCGCAAAGCTTATCTACTTTGATTCTGCTGTTTTTGTTTAAAGCAAAGGGTTTCTGTTCCAGTCAAAGTGAGAGGTCTCTAGGATGTTAATAATTATTTTGTGATCACTGTTACTTTGTTATGCATTCCAGTTAGGCAAAGAATGCATTTATCTCCTCGTACGTCACTTAAATACATAAACTTTAGGCACAGAAATATGAAAAATGCTGAGGACTTCTGTTAACATCCTACCACCTCTTGGAAGTGCTCTCTCTTTAAGAATCTGATTATTAAGACACCTTGGGTTGGGTTTTATTTATATCACAACTAATAGTCTTTAATAGGATGTGAATCCTCCTCTACCAAGGTGGTTTAAAACCAGGCAGGCAGCTCGTTCACTCACTCCCCCCCTTCTTTCCCTTCCCCTACTCCCGGAGGGATGGACATGTGAAATACGAACTCGCTCCTCTAAACAAGATAACAAGGTTTTATTGAGGGACAAAGTCAGTAAAGCAAAAGCAACAGCGCTGGGCACATGACTGTAGCCAGAGGCGCAAGTGATTAATATTTGTTACAGGTTTATATACTTTCACTATTACATTAGTTACATACATATTCATAATTCCCACGTATAGGTGGGGGATATTATAACTAGCTTCAAGAATTTGTTATTATAAGTCTCCTCCTATTAGCGTCTGCGCACTGCTCTGCTGTGATTGTGGGCAGGGGTCTTGAGGATGAACAGTCTTCCTCTTGTGAGTAGGGGTCTTCAAGATGAAGTAAGCAGTCTTCCTCACAGTGTACTTTTCACTTTTGGCACAGTTGGACCCCCCAGTAATCACACAACCAGCTATATCTGTAATTATTCTGATAACTAGTAAAGATTTAAAACAGTGTGCCCTTCCTGCAAAATTTATTGCAGGATGGGCAGACAAGGAGTATCTCAAGCTAGCAGATGTTTGGGAGGCTCTGTCTCTAAACTAACTGATAAGTAAAAGGATGGTGTGAAATAACTGATTCATGTTTAGTGGGGCCACTGAATCCTGTTATCTCACCACAGACTTACCACACAAACATTGTTCTTTAATAAAACTAAAGATACTTTAGAAGACTAGTGTGAAACAATTCATGTTTAGTGGGGCCACTACATTCCACAGACTTACAACATAAACATTGTTCTCTTTCTACAACCTAAGTTAAGCTAAAAAAGTACTTTAACTCTATGTTTTTCCAGGCACTAGCTTACCTTATATCAAGCCCCCCCCCTTCTTTCTTTTACCTTTACAAATTCTTTTGCTATGTGACTGTTTTGATCAAGAGATCTGAACCTTTTTAACTTATTGTCTAGTCTTGTGTCTTTAGAGAGTTTTGTTTCTGCTATTGTAAACTCGTACAGTTATATCCACATAACCACGCCTATGATTTGCGAAAGCCAATACATTTATGTGTTTATCACAGAGAGGAGAACCGAAAAGAATGCAACTCCCACGGGTTAAGGTAAGAACAGTTTAGTAACTAAGGTATAACACAAATTACTGCTGCTACCAGCAATAATAATAATGATAAGAGAAATAACAAGGGAAGAGAATACAACACCTCACCACCCGCTGACCGATAACTCGCCCCCCCCAGCCCGACCAAGCACCGACCGATACCTCATCCAACCCTGCAGCCCCATCCCTTCTGGGTAACTCTCCATTACGCCCTGGGCATGATGTGCTGTGATATGGAATACTTCTTTGGTCCGTTTGGGTCAGGTGTCCTGTCTCTGCCTTGTCCCAGCCTCCCCTCCTCCCTGGCAGAGCATGAAGCTCAGGAAGTCCTTGGCCAGACTAAAACATCAGTGTTATCAGCTCTGTTCCCAGGCCGAAAGTCAAAACACAGCACTGCACCAGCTACTAAGAAGGAGAAAAATGACCGCTACTGCTGAACCCAGGATACAAGGATTGATATTTTGGGCTGCCATATTTGTGTATCCTCCATACACGTGAATCTGAAAGCAATCTGAGAAATTAGCTTTAGAGGCTCTGTAGTGATTTTTCACTTAGTCACAATTTGGGGGAGATTTGATCTAGTAGATGAAAATAGATTTACTTGCCACTGTGTATGGTCGTCTGGGTTGGAGTAATGGATTTCTCTGTCAGTTTTTTACCTTGTCTGTGAACAATGAGAAGTCATGGTCTGCTTAGGAGAGGGATGTGAAAGATGACACAGAAAAGCTGTGTAATTATTATTAGAGACCCTGAATTGCCTTTATGGGACCAACAGTACAATGGAAAACTATTTATGATCTGTAAATTGAAAAAGGTCAAACCTTTCGGCTTGTTCAGTGAAATAATAGGTAATAACAGTTGATGACATCTGGTTCAAATTTGGGAAGTGTTAATTGGGCACCATGTAGTCTTACACAGCGCAGATATGCCAGCTTCCTGCAGTATTCTTTAGCTATTGCAGTGGTAATCAGAACCTTGCAATATGGTATTAATCCACTATCCCATGTTTGCTCTGGACTCAAGCGTTGTCGCCTCACTTCTCCCAGACATGGTCTAAAGATGACCCTGATTTGTTTGCTTCTCAATGAGGGGCTATGAAGGCATGATACAGTGTATCACTGTAGGATATTTTTATCCTCTTGCTGTGGGTCTTCTGTGATTTTTGACTAAATTGCTTTATTCCCTTCCATTCTGTTTATAAACTGGGGAAAGCTTTGTATCATGTTCTGTCTCTGTGCTATTTATTCTGTGGGCCTTCCACCACAGTTAGCATTTCTACAGTACTAGTTTGTAATCTCATCAGTCTTTTAGCATTGCTGTATAATAGAGTGAGCAACTGAGCACTGAAGATGCAGTCGCAGCAGAAAGAAGATACTGTTAAAATTTTGTTGTAAAACTAACAAGGTTACACTTGAGAGAGTAAAAAAAACTTTTGAAACTGCTGGCTGATGCAAATCTTTCTCCATCATGCAATTGCATATACTATTCATATCTTTTTTACTTGAATTTAAGGCTTCCTTGTGTTTGCTTTTCCAAAACCAGCCTGTTGTCAAAGCATCCATCTAAGGTCAGGGTTTAAAGAAATACAATGCTTGGTGTTCACCTAGGGGTCTCCTTCTATGTTTAAAGTAATTGGAACATACATTGTGCTTCAAAGTGTGCTCTTAGGGTTTTTCTGTAACTGATATGTGACAAGTTGCAGGAAAAACTCCCCCAAAATGTGCTGTATTCTCTATTTATTGCACTTTCCTCCGAGGACTGTGCAGTAGTTTGTACTGCAAAGGAAAGTATTTGGTTAGACAAATAATAGCGTGATTTAGGAAAGTAAGTCCTGTGTCATCCTTCATTTAAATGGGATGTTGCAGTTGAAACTATTTCTGGATTTTTATTCTTTGAAACAGTCCTGTTGCTGACTTAAGCTCTTTAAGATCCTCTTCCAGTATTTTTGCTTATGAACATAGAGAGTTTCCTTGGCTCTAAAAGTGGAGTCAGTAATTTTATTTCTCAGTTCTTCTTTTAAAAGCGCCGTTCCTCAGTTTATCCTAAAAGTGTAAAAGGCCGAGGTAAGAGGGCTGAGAAGAGCTGGCACAGCTCTGTTGAGGCGAACAGTGTGCCAGTAGAGCAATACTAGCTAGGGAATCAACACATTTCCTAAACACTAGGTAAAGTTCCTTCCTGCAGGTTGCAGAGGCTACACTGCTCTGGGTGGTGTCGTCTCTGGGGATATAAATGGTGGCAGGGAACTTGCAGAGTCTGTCAAGTCTGCGTCTTCTGCCTGCGTATTGGAGAAGGGAAGCTTCTCGGATACTTAGTGCCCCTACAGTGCAATGCGCGTTTAGAATCAGTGGCTCCCCCACCCTGCATCCCCTCCAGGCGCAGCTGCTTCCTTTCATTGAAGGACTGGAGAAGTTCCTGTTTGCTAACAGGCTTAGTTGTGGAAGCTGTACTCTTTTTAAAAAAGGCATGGTAGGATTTGGTGTTCCATTTAATAGAACATTAAAATGCTCTGGAGGCAACTGCTGCTTTCCCCAGTGTCCAGAGGTGGGACTTCTCTTGGAGGCTGCCAAGGTGGGACTTTAGGAGCCCTGGACATACCTTGGGGAGCTGCTGCATCATCTCTCTCTCTGATGAGGTTTGGCTCAGCTGGCTGTGCTGTAGGGTATGGTCTCCATTCTCAGCAAATAGCTGTGTTGCCCTTTCCCAAGGTACTGTGTGTGCATCAACATGTGGCACTGGAATCACAGAATCATAGGATCGTAGAATACCAGCTTGGAAGGGACCTCAAGGATCATCTGGTCCAACCTTTCTAGGCAAAGCATGACCTAGACTAGATGTCCCAGCACCCCGTACAGCTGAATCTTAAATGTCCAGCATTGGGGGACTCCACCACTTTCCTGGGGAGATAATTCCAATGGCTGATTGTTCTCACTGTGAAAAATTTTCCTCTTGTATCCAGTTGGAATTTCCCCAGGAGTAATTAACTTGTGTCCATCACCCTTCATCTTTTTCATGTGACTCCATGTAAAAAAGAAGCAGAAGTCTCTTGTGCTCCTCCCTTTCTAGGATAAAACAACTAACCTCCTGAATTCTGCTTACTTTTCCTGTTTCTGCTCATGTGATTCTGTTGACTTTGTCAAGTGGTGTTCAGCCAGAAGGGGCGTTTTGGCATATTGGTGTTCTCACTGGTGTTGAAGCCATTTTCTTTTCACAGCAATTCTGCTCTCTTACCTTAAAGGTCCCAAGGCTTTGGGTCTGTTTGTTTGCTTTATGAGTTTGCTGGATCCTCGCCATTGAGAATGCTGACTCTTACAGGCCTCCATCTGGGGTTCAGGAACTGTATTCACCCAGAAACAGGCAGCTATTCTAGTGAATACTGTTGAACTGCAGTGTCCATGTTCTTCATAGCTAGGACATCATCCTGTCACTGCTAGAGACTTCCCATTTATGTCGGTGGCCATAATCCTATTGGTTGAGAACAGAGCACATTTCCACACTTCCTAACTTTGCCACTTCTGTTCAACTACAATCTGAAGTTGGTAATTGTCTGGTTTAGAGCAGGGGTACAGTAGCCTATACATCATTTCAGCCTTCATTTCTTAATGAAGGTTGTTGGGAAGGTGTAGCCTTTGGAGGCTGTTCAATTTTGGTTGAATTTTAATAAGGCGACTACAAAACTGTCATCTTCAATTCTGATAAATCCACTCTCTGCAGATGCTCTTTTTGGCATGCCATATTTTAGGCATTGCCTTCTACTTTAATTAGGAAAATCTGTCTTTGTTTGCTTGCTTCTGGATGGAGATGAGTTGGAAATTTTGACACTTTTAAAGAGTGAAACTGGCATTAGATGACAATTTGCTAATAAGATTTGAGATGCTCCGCACTGAAATTTACTATAGGACCAGAGCCATAATCCTCAAATTTGGATACACTTCTTCACAGGTAAACAAGAAAAATAAGTTTAGACTTAAAAGTTTTCTTATTATTGGTGAGAGAGCACCATATCATGTCATACTTGTTCAGTCTGTATGTAAGCATCCTGGCAAGCTGGAAGCAGTTTTAAAAGTGCTTTCATTCCAGAGCACAGAAATGCAGGAGTGTGTAAGTAGGAGCCTAGGGAATTATGGAATAAGTTCATTTTGGTGGGTCTGTTTTGGGCTGCACCGTTGTTCTATTAGATCTTCCCCTCTGAAGAGAGAGTTTGACATGCCAAAGTGATTGGGTAACATTTGTATGACCATTCTGGGGGAAGGACTCCAACACAGGCTTGTAAAACATCTGAAGCCTGAATGACTGAACTATGCTGAACTATGCTGTGAGCAGAGGGGCTGGTGTACCCTTCAGTTACATGCATACTTTGCAGGCAGTTTCCTCTTTGCTGCAATGAGAGCAAATGTCTAACACCATGAAAGCCATAGCTTTCCTGTAAGCGTTGTGGGATCTCATTTAAATATAGGCCTTTCTTATTTTAGGTGTGCTATGTCTATTGTATACTCTGCTTGAGTGCATAATGGTTTGCAGTTGTGTTGCAGGGACCATATAGTTACCTAAAATGATTTCATTTCACACACAAAGGTGAACCCCCCTTCTCAAGCTAGTTTGTTTTGGAGGTTGAGTTTTTGTGGGTTTTTTTCCTATCAGCATGCTTTAAATCTGTAAATCTCCACATGTGATTTGTTTCATACTACATAGGGAATACTTTTTTCATAAGAAGGTTTTTGAAAATTAAAAAACTACTTACATTTTAGTGGTTTAAATGCAGATAGGAGTTCACCCATGCTCTGTGGCTGTGAACACCTCACTTTGGATATATCTGCTGTTCTTTTGAAGAGCTTTGGAGCTTCTGACATGAATTATAGGGACAACCCTATGGGTTTTTTGCTGCAAAGCTGTGGGTCAGTTCTTGCTTTGAATTTAATCTTCCTCCCTGTGATCATCTTGTACCTGTACAGGAACCCCTGGAGGATATGATGTGCTGATTGTGTATGCAAGTGACGCCACTGAATGGTGTCAGTACCTCCAGAACCTCTTCCTCTTTACTCGGCACATTCGAAAGCATCGGATTCTAAGCTACCAGCTGGAAGGCAAGTCAGCCATCTCACAGCAGGAGCTGGACCTTTTCAGTGGAAGTCGGAGCATCATCCTTTTGCTATCTGCTGAACTGGTGCAGAGTTTTTATCTCCCTCCCATTCTGCAGAGCCTTCAGGAAGCCTTATGCCCCCCCCACAAAGTAGTCAAGCTGTTCTGCGGTGTTACAGACTGTGATGACTATTTGAACTTTTTCAAGGACTGGTCTCAGTGGCAAGAACTCACAAATGATGATGAACCTGATGCTTACCTTGCAGCTGTCAAGAAGGCTATTTCAGAAGGTAAGGTAGCAGCCGTGGAGTTATGCTTCCTGGTCAGGGGTTGGAGGAGGGAGATCTGTGGTATTGTTTATCCTTATTTTAACAGTGGTAACATGTTTTACTGAAACAGAAAACTAGAGAAAGTTGCACAACCATTGTAAACTAGGAAGTTTTGCAAGCTGATTTTGTTATGTCTGGTCCACTGGTTCCTAGTTCAGGACAGGTTACTGATGACTTACAGAGAACTTCTGAATTTGGAGGTTATTTTAGGTGCCTGGCTTTGAATGCAAATAAAAAATAAAAACTGAGTACCTTTGAAGTTATGCCTGTAAATATTGTGCCCTGCACTTTATTGACCTTAGTTGATGGAAAATTATCTTTTCCTTTGGACTTACATTTGTCATACCAAAACCAAAATAAGCTTGTCTAGTATGTATTTACTATCACTGGGCCTAAAGTCAGAGATATAACCATACTGGCAGCAGATCAGCTTGTTACTTATGACAGAATGGCAGAGATTACCTGGAGAATTGCACTGATTGCCTTAAAAATAATTGAAGTAGTCCACAAGTGATCACCTCATTTTGCACTCACAGAGGACTTGTGAGCAGGAGACTACGGAAGCCCAGTGTACTGAGTTTCAGTTGGGTCTGAACTTTCCTAAACTCTGGGGGTGTGTGTGGTACTCCATTCCTATAATTTCTGTGGAAATGAAGGTGGAGAGCTCTGGGGAGTCATGCTGCTTAGGATGTTTTTATGACACTGCCATGCATAGGGTTGTAGTGTTCTTTGTCTGCCTTATCAGGATTGAAGTCGGGTGGTTGGCTTAGGATTTGTCTGTATTTAGTGGTATAAATGAGTCAGTGCAGTCTTCTAATGTGTCTGGTGGTGTGTGCATAAAGGTGCTTTATGCCAGGATAATAATGGCAATAATGACAATGCCAAATATATCACAGTAAAAATAAATCTTTAAGTTATGATCTTGGCCAAAACAGCTTCCCTGAAAAAAGATGACTTAGGGATTGTGCTGAAGATGGTATTCTCAGGTAACAAGATCACAACAGATATTTCCTAGTACCTTTTCAAAACCTACATAAACTAAAATTTGCATCTTCCTTTCAAACACCCCTAAACCACCTTGGTTTCCCAATGGATGACCTAGGACTAAAATAATCTGGCTCCTTTGCTTTAAGCCTGGAAGAAGACAGAGAACAGTGGCTGACCTTTTGTACTCTGGAAAAGAAAACTGAACAGAGATTAATTTAACTTTTCTGACTGTATCAGATCCTTCCTCTGTGTGGGGAAAAAAATGACTAGGTGACCTCTTCCGTCGTGTGATTCTACATACCAGGTTTTGTGAATGGCCTCAAATGCAAATGTTCTGATACTTCTCCTGGAGAGAAGACAACCCCAGGTGTACATAGTTCCCTTTCTGGCTGAAACTGGGAAAACTTTCTTCTTGGTTGGTAATATAAATTAGCATCTGCCTTACAGTCTGGTTGCAGCCAATCATGGCATAAGTGACTTAAAGTAAGAGTGTTTGTGGCAGCAGACCTCTCCCATAGAGAAACACAGCCTGTGCTCTGCTCCCAGGATTTCATTGCTAGTATTTTAGATGAAGATGGATTTTGAAGTCAGGAGCTCTTAGAAGGTCTCAGTTAAGTCCGTTCTGTGCGTCAAACTGAACTTTTCCAGAGTAAGGCAGCCCTCCATTGCTACAGTACTTAGCAGAGAAAGTTTATGACCATATTTGAAATGATTTGTCTGTGTGTCTTCCTCTGGAAAGAACTCTCCATGTGCATTCACCAGTACTTCTAACAGCAGTGTCAGCATGCATTTTAAAACTAAGCCTGATGCAATAATGACCAAACTTCAGCTGCAGCTTTCTAATAGTTGAATCTTGAGCTAGTGAAGCGTATGACGCAGGGCATGGTGATGGCAAATACCTCTACAGAGCCTGCACTCTGGCCCTGCTCAGGTTGTGCTGTTGCTTCTAGCACAGTTGTTAGTCTGTGGTTTGTTTAGTGCATCATGGGAACATGACACCCCCAGACATCAGACGGTGACAGCCATTTTATTTTTATTAGTTTAGTATAAATTCAGAAAGGAGGAAGCCCTCATCTAGCCTTGTTGAGAACTGTGTGCTGGCACTGACTCTTGCTGTCTTGTAGATGGGACTTTTTTACTTTCACAGTTTCTCAATCCTGGCAAATTGAAGAAGGCTGAAGGTTTGCAACTACAGGCACTTGTGTTATCTGTGGGGAAGTTTTCCAGGCTAACCAAGTTTTTCAGGCTATGCGATAACTGTGGGACGTGAGAATGCTCAGGATGGCACTGTACCAGCCAGTTCAGGTCTGGCAGGGTATAATCAGCAGCCAGGGTACAGTGACCAGCATGCCACTTAAGCCCTCTTGTTTGACTTGTGATACCACACCATGCTGTGCTGTGTGCATGGGACAGCTGGAAGTCTGTGCCACACATTTGGAGTCAGTGACCTTTCTCTTCCTCCCATGTTCTCAGAGCTTGGTTGAAATATGTTTTGTATTATGCATATTTCTTCTTCTCCAGTTTATTTCAGCTGCTACCTATGTTGGCTTGAAAAAAATTCAAATTTTCTGCTTTAAAAGTTGATGTTTCCAGAGCATTTGCTATTTAATCAGTGGCTTTGAACTTAATGTACCCGAGCAAACTGTTGCAGGGAAAAACCCAGGGTAGTCAACATCTGCCTGAGGTTGCTAAGGTGATAACTGAGTGTAACAGCAGCTGTGAACAGTGCTGTTGAAGGACACATGCAGCCTTGGCTGAACACAGCTCAATGGACAATGAAATGGACAAGAAAGAAAGATTAGTACCAGCAAACTTCTTGCAAAATGGGGGAGGTCAGGAGTGGGTATAAGAAAATATGTGGTAAATATGGAGGACAGCGGGCAGTTAGAAGGAAGATGAGAATTTTGCTGGAGCCCTGTAGATGAGGAAGAGCTGAGATGTTACTCCACCTAGCTTATTGTGAGATACTAGAGACCAAGGCAGTGAGCTTTTGTGGGAGGAAAATAGCATAACAGAAACTGCATAAGGTGTTGTCGTTCTCCCTCCTGTACATGTTAGGGAATTTAATGAACTTCCTGGCTTTCATTTGTTGCCCTGGTGAAACAACAAATGAAACTTGAGAGCATATCACAGAGTCATTCAGGCTAGATCACCTAGTCCAACCTCCTTGCTGAGACATGGTGAGATAAAGCGGGTTGCCCAAGACCATGTCCAGTCAAGTTTTGAATGTCTCTGTAGGTGAAGACTTCACAGTCTCTCTGAGCAACACATTCCAGAGAATGTGTTGTTTGACCACCCTCAGAGTAACAAAACATTTTCTTGTGTCCACATGAAATTTCATGTGTTTCAGTTTGTGCCCATTGCCTCTTGTTCTGTCAGTGGTCACTATGGAGGAGAGTCTGGCTCCCTCTTTTTCATTTCCTCCCATCAGGTAAACATTGTTAAGATTTCCCCAACTCTTCTCCATGCTGAAGAGATCCAGCTCTTGCAGCCTCACCTTGTATGAAGGATGCTGTGGCTCCTTAATTATCTTTGTGGTCCTGTGCTGGACTCTGCCTGTAAAGCTAAAGTAACCTTGGAATAGGCTATTCAGAGTTTTGAGGTCAGGTTGGACAGATGCATGAGGTGTTCTCAAGTATGTCTCAACCCAGGGGGATGAAGTGATAGTACATGGGGCATTCCTTTCAGCCTGACATCTCTAGTTGTTTGGTTGCTAGCTTTTGCTTGTCACTGCCATTTAGGGCTAGAGACCTAAATTCACAATGAACTTTTAAGTTTGATGAGCTTCTCTCCTGTTACTGTAGGGGCTAATGTTAAATGATCTGTTCAGAGATGATCTATAAATTTTTGTTTGTTATGTATGTCAAGATTTCTGCCAAAAGTCAGGTTTTTCCTGGACCTGGCTAATAGTCTTTCATTGAAGACTGTCAGTGTGTTCATTTGATTGCTCAGACAAACTCTGTGTTAGGCCTTTAATGCAGTTACGAATTTCTGCTTTACCATATACCTATTTCAGGACACAAAGTACGGTGAAATCCAGTATTTATCTGTTATGTTACCCTTAGACTTGAGATGTCCTGAGGAATGACAAAGCAAATAGCATATCTTAGAAAAATAGTCTGTGGCTTTTGTGGATAGATTCAAACTTTACTTTCTTTCCCTCCCTTAAAAATACATTCACTCACATTGTTACTATCTGGTGGTTTTTGTGGTTTCTAGTAAAAAGCTGCTTTTAGAAGTATTCAGAGCTGCACACCTTGGCATAGGACAGGGGTGATCTCATCTCATTACAACAATTCATTGAAGTGTGGGTGCTTTGTACTCTATGGTGACATTGGTAATTATTCTTTATTCACATGAAAGTGCACACATGAGCACTCAACAGCTAATTGAACCAATGTGCATGCAAGTTCTAATCAATGAGATGGTGCAGGAAAGAAAATGCCTTTCATTATCTGGGAGAGAAATAAGATAGAGATGCATAGATGGATTGATACTGTATGATAGATATGATATGATATGTAGGAATATATTCCTTTTTATATATACATATATATAGAATCATAGAATCATAGAATCACAGAATCATAGATCCTGCCCCTCTACTCTGCTCTCGTGAGACCTCACTTGGAGTATTGTGTGCAGTTCTGGTGTCCTCAACATAAAAAGGACATGGAACTGTTGGAACAAGTCCAGAGCAGGGCCACATGGATGATCAGGGGACTGGAGCACCTCCTGTATGAAGACAGGCTGAGGAAGTTGGGGCTGTTCAGCCTGGAGAAGAAAAGGCTGCGTGGAGACCTCATAGCAGCCTTCCAGTATCTGAAGGGGGCCTATAGGGATGCTGGGGAGGGACTCTTCATTAGAGACTGTAGTGACAGGCCAAGGGGTAACGGGTTAAAACTTAAACAGGGGAAATTTAGATTGGATATAAGAAGGAAATTCTTTCCTATTAGGGTGGTAAGGCACTGGAA